TAGTAAGTATAGTATAGTATAGTATAGTAAGTATAGTATAGTATAGTTAGTATAGTATAGTAAGTATAGTATAGTATAGTAAGTATAGTATAGTATAGTATAGTATAATATAGTAAGTATAGTATAGTATAGTATAGTATAGTATAGTATAGTATAGTATAGTATAGTATAGTATGGCTCTGTCTCAAAACACTTCAAGAAAACCCAAAGCCCAGACGCTGTGGTCTTCTTCAAGGCCAGCATCTTTGATCTTCTTCACACCGCACCTCTCTTGGTGATTCCCCTGTGCTCCTGCTTGGTTCCTTGTGTCCACTGTCTGTTAGGAGCCTCTCTGAACTCATTTTTCCCCATATCCTTCCTAATCATGCCGTCTGCTTGTGCTGCTGCGTCAGGTGTGGTGTGGGGCCTGACCCATGAGGTAGAGCTGGCATTCCTGCCCATTAGACAGGCACTTAGGCAGCAGTCCAGAGTGCGCCACCTGCTGGATATACTCCATCAATGTGGAGACATTGGAAACACTCTGGGAGTCCTTACCTACCTCGAAGGATTAAGGGAAAATGTATTTCTTCAGGCTGTGGAATAATTTGGGCCTTGGAGACTTGTGTGGTGGGGATTGCTCTAAAACATCAGCTCTGCTGACTGATTGGCCTGCTCAGACACGCCATCCTCTTCACCTAAAACTGGGTCCACAGAGCCACACAGTCTTGGTTTTTGGAATCAAAGAAAAAATAAATTATTTAAAGACTTAACTGAAGAATTTTTCTTGGCTGAGTGTGATGGCTCACACCTTTAGTCCCAGCACTAGGGAGGCAGAGACTGGAGGGAGGCTGGAGTGTCTCTGAGTTCAAGGACAGAGCTCTATAGAGAGACCCTGTCTCAAAATAAGGGAAGTATGGTGGTGGTAATCTGAGCCCACTCAGGAGGCAGAGGTAGGGGAACGATTGCAAATTCAAAACCAGGCTGGTCTGCCATCATAAGTCCCAGGCCAGCCAGGGTCACGCAGTAAGCTGCTGTGTCAGCATCAGAATTGCTCGTCTGGTTTTATCACAAGGTTTCTCTGTCCAGAGGAGGTAGCCAAAGGGAACAGAAAGACTTCTGTAGAGCCAAGTGTGTCTGACAAAAGTGTTTTCCTCTGTCGCCACAGTCCCTGGGAAAACACTCCTGTGCTCTAACCCCCATAGCTATTGCCAGTGTGTTCAGTGGTGGTGGGGGGGAACCCCCTCACATACCCTGTCCTCAGGTGTGTTCTATGCTGGTGGGCGGGTCCTCCCTCATACCCCCTGTCCTCAGGTGTGTGAGCATCTGCTCCCTGGCCTTCAGCATGGACGGCATGTTCCTCTCTGCATCCAGCAACACCGAAACAGTGCACATTTTCAAACTCGAGGCGGTGAGGGAAAAGTAAGTTGCAAAGACAAACTTGTCTTCCCTTTTTTGTTGTTTTTGGGGTTTTCTTGTTTGATTTGGTTGGGTTGGTTTTTGGTTTTTGAGACAGGGTTTTTCTGTGTAGCCCTGGCTATCCTGGAACTCATTCTGTAGACCAGGCTGGAACCATACCTGACTAAAAGACAGCTTTTCCAACAGTTTTTGTCGAGAGCGGGAGGCACTGAGGATCAAACCTAGAGTCGCAGGAATGTTTCAGGGATATACTACCACCACTGAGCTAGCTGGTCTCTGCTTTTAAGGGTTGATGAGACGGCTCAGTGGGTAAAGATGCCAAGCCTGACAACCTGAGTTCCATCCTGGGGAACTAGGTGATGGAAAGAGAAAAATAATTCATGTACATTGTTCTCTGACCTGTCTATAAACATACACATTCATGTACACACACACAATAAAATTTTAAATTAATCTAAAAATAAAAAAATACTCAAAATTGTAAACTTTCCACGACCACCAGAAAGACATGACATGGGCACGGTTTCTGGGTGTAAAGTCACTCTGGCTATAGGGTAGGCACGATGCCACCAAGACCAGCTTCAGCGGGAGATGTGTGCTTGGAGAATGTCCTGGTGCACCAGGGTGCTGAGGACAGATATCAGGGTCCCCAGGGTGTCCCCATTCTGGAATGACAATCAGCTCTAGCACTCACAGGTCAGCAAGGAGATGGGTCCTTTCATCTTAACTTAAGTCCCTGAAACAGATGCATGGCAGAGAGACTTCTTGTCTTTTCGCTCCATGAATTCAAAGAGCATCCTACTGGGGCTAGTACTGATGATGGAGCCTGTGTCCCATCCAAGGGCCCACACTGTTAAACAGGGGCCTGACTCACACAAGCAGTCCTGGCCTCCGTGTAGTCAGGAGCATGCGTGCTAAGGAAACGTGATGAGACTTCAGTGAAGCCGGGGTGTGTGCTGAGGTTGGGAGCTCCTGATGATATGCTGACATAACCATGGCCACTGGGCCAGAAGAAAAGAGGGTGCTCTGTGCCTTCCACAGCCGATCTTTGTGGGGTGTGGAGGGTTGGTCAGTCTCGGGCAGGCTCTATAGTTCTCAGTGAGAACCTAGTCTCACCTGTGTAATGCGGCTTCCTTGCAGACCTCCAGAAGAGCCCACCACCTGGACTGGCTACTTTGGGAAGGTTCTCATGGCATCTACCAGCTACCTGCCCTCACAAGTGACAGAAATGTTCAACCAGGGCAGGGCCTTTGCCACTGTCCGCCTGCCATTCTGCGGCCACAAAAACATCTGCTCACTAACCACGTGAGTACAGACTGAACCTGTGGCCCCACCCTCTGCCAATGCACACCAGAGCCAGGATTGCAGAAGTGTGTGTGACCCTGTCCAGCCTGTCCAAGCCTGGGTTCCATCAAGTCCTGCCTAGCAGAAAGACCCATAGGCCTGAAACCTGGGTGTCTTCTTTGCATGTTGCAGGATGTTTGTGTTGGTGGGAAACATTAAGTCAAGACAGTAGGAAATTGACACTATTCATCCTGGGGCACAGAGGTCCTGCTTGTGCGGTTGGGATTGTCACCATGGAGCACCAGAAGGCTTGTCTGGAAGACAAGTGACAGCAGCACGGCTCTGCTCTGGACACTGATGGTGTTTTCTAACTTGAATAGCCACAAAGGCTGTAGTTCTGGTGTTCTACTAAAGTGGGCACCAAGTATGTTTGAGAGCTTTGTAGACAGGCCTACCCTTAGGCTGGGAGGTCTCAGTAATAGCTCTGTCCTCGGCACCCACATAAGAGCCAGATGTGCCCACATGCCTGTCTTCAGCACTAAGGGAGGCAGGGACAAGTATGTCTGTGATTTGATGCCAGCCTGTATTCAGGTTCAGTGGACTAAAGCCCAGAATGGTAGAGCAGGATATCTCACACCCTCTGGCTTCCCCACGGGCATGCATCAATGGGTGCCTGTGTACACACACAGGAAAGAGAAAATACCCACCTTAGTGACCAGAGAAAATGACAGCTCCCCTGCCCTACCACATGGTCTTTGGGACTCAGTGTGCTCACACCCAGGCTGTCCTTGGCCTTGCCAGCTTCGCTCTGAGGAGCCCAGGCACTGTCTTCACCTAATGTGCTGGCTGCTGGGTTTCTTCCTACCTCTGCTGAGATGCAGGTTTAGTCACGTGCCTTTTGTGAGGAGGAAAAAGTCCTCCTTCTGAAACATAAAAACATAGTTGCTTTCCCTTAGAATTCAGAAGATCCCACGGTTGCTGGTAGGAGCATCAGATGGCTATTTGTACATGTACAACCTGGACCCCCAGGAAGGCGGCGAGTGTGCCCTGATGCGTCAGCACAGGTGAGGCTCCTCTGCGTGGCGATCTGAGGCTGTGCTACTGGGCTAGGTCTGCTTATTCATCCCCTGAAGGCTCATGTGCTGACCTGTGCCCATGGCAAGCATCGTCTCCCCATCGAGATTCCTTTCCCTGGTGCTACGAGCCTTCTCCTTTCCCTTGCTGGCCACAGGATGCCATTCAGGGACAGGAAGGAGAAGTCTCTGAGGCTGTGATGCTGCGGATTGGGTGGCTCCCAAGCCCCTGCTGAGGGTGAGGCTTGGGGTCTGCAGTAAGGTGTCCTCACAGGAGCCTGCTGACCCACCTCAGGGTGCGCCGTGGGAATTCGTAGGTGGTGATTGAGATGTGTGTCGCTTTATCAGACTTCCTATGTTAAAAGCACTGTGGAGATCACAGGATCAGATTCACATTGGTGGAGTGTCAGGCAGGAGCGGCCATCTGTGGCCCAGTTCCTTGACACGTCTCAGACCCCAAGCCATGCTTTCCAAGCCATCCTGTTCATGTGTCCAACTGTCCTTCTGGAACAGCTTGTTTGAGATGGGTCTTGCTCTGTAGTCAAGGCTGGCCTCAGACTAAGAGGACTCTTCCTGCCCCAACCTTCCAAGTGCTGGGATTTTGAGAGCGAGCCATTACACCCAACTTGAAGTGAGTGTGACCTTGTTCATTTACTGTCTCTAGGCTTGATGGCAGTATGGAGACGACCAGTGAGATTGTAGACTCTGCATCTCATGACAGCCCCTTAGCAACGCAGGCGTACGGCACAGCAGCCACCAAAGGTGCCTATGTGCCCTCATCCCCCACAAGACTTGGTAAAGGGCAGGACGCCAACTTAGAAGGTAATTTAGCATTAGCTTCTGGGGTTCTTCCATACTGTCCTGTCCCTGGAGTTGCTGCCTCCCATGAAGCCATGGGACAGGGCTTCCTTCCAAGGCCTGTGAAAGTAAATTTATGGTCTTCATTTTTGGAAGAAAGATAGTCATTGTGGCCAGAGACTCCAGCTGCATGTGAGCCCACCTAGCCTGCTACCTCCCTCTGTAAGCAGCGTGTCCTTCATGCATCATGGGCAGACACTGCCAGTGCTGACTCTCTCCATCTTGTGTCTGACTTTCTCTAAACTCAAGAGAGGTTGTGCGAGCTGTAACACATGACCTGCATCTCTGCATCTCCAGTTAGAATCCCATAGAGTTCCGTCACTCACAAGAGTGCATTTAGTTACCACTGTTTACTGTACAGGGCTTGTGCATGCTGGGAAATGGGTGGCATCATCTGGCTTTGCCTGAGGCTGTAGAGGCTCCACTCTGATCAGGTCTGGAAAGTCTTAGAGTGGCCATAGCTCATAACTAAGTACCATCTCCTGGACATAACCTACGGTTGGTGTGGCAGGATCAGCAGCTGGTCCCAGCTCTCTGAGGATGCCACTCTTCTCTCTGCAGCCTACACAGATGACCTGGGTGCTGTGGGTGGCACATGCCTAGAGGATGAAGCCAGTGCTCTGCGCCTGGATGAAGACAGTGAACATCCTCCCATGATTCTCCGGACTGACTAATACTGACCTGTGAACTCTGGCCCAGGAGCAGACAACACTGGCCTGGCTGAGGACTTAAGCATTGCTGCTATGAACTTTGACCTGAATTGAGGGAGAGGATGGCAGAGACTTTAAAGCAAAGAGATTGTAGTTATAGCCTATTCATACTGTTGAGAAAATACAGTTTCCACTTCAGCAACTTTAATCCTGCTTATGAATTTAGCTTTTTGTTTTCTCTCACTCTTTAATTTTTTTATCTCTCTCTCTCTCTTTCTTTTTTTTTCTTTTTTCTTTTTTTTTTTTTTTTTTTTTTGCCAAAATTAACTGTTTGGTGAAGTCTGTGGAGTCTCCTTGCTTTGCATGTGTGATGTGCCAAGCGAACATAGGAGAGGGAGTGGAGTGGCCACTCCATAGCAAACCACAGTTGTCAGGTCTCATGCCAGGGCGCGCATGAAGGAGTGTCTGTGTGTGGTAATTCTGCAGGGACAGGGCCCACGTGCCACCAAGACCAGCCAGGGCACCAGTAGACAGTGGGCTCTGTCAGGAGTCCTCTTGCCCTACTGCCTCACCTGGGCCATTTTCCTCCCAATCTCCCAATTTATTAAACTCTTTCCAGATTGGATCATTCTGGGACTAGCTTCCTCCACGGGGACTATTGTTTTGGGTCTTAGTCTCCATGGGGATTGAGAGGGAGAGAGGCAGTTTCTGCTCTCTGTGCCTTCTCTTCTTCTGACAGGTGAACTTGGCAGTCTGCTGGGGCAGCCTGGAGCCCAGGAAGGCGATTTCATCAGTGTCGTTAAATGCTCTGTCTCCTACTGTCCCCATCCATAACTGTGACTTGGTTTTTTGTTTTTGTTTTTAAAGGAGAGTCTGTAGCTACTCCAATTCCCGAAAAAGCACAAAGGTGTAAGTTGCTACGTCAGGCATCAGTCTGCTGACCTGGAGCTGTGCTGTCCGCCAGAGGCTCTTCTCTTCTCCCCAGAGATAGCAGATACTAGGTCCCAGGGTGATGGCAGGAGACTCCCTCCCAGGGTGATGTGCCTTTTCTTTTGGTCTTACATGGGCAGGAACGTGAGGTCAGATGTCAGTGCTGCCCTGCGCCTGTCTGCTTTGGATTGTTTGGTGTCTTTGGGGAAACTGTGGTCTCACCCCTTAGCCTCTAGAAATCACTATATAGCCCAGGCTGGTCTCAAACTCATAGCAGTCCCCCTGCCTCAACTTCCTGAGAGTTGGAATTACAGGTACCGCTGTGCTGGGCTCCTTTCTCAGCTCTACAGAATAAAAAGTTGTCCTCAAATCTGCATTCTGAACAACAGACCCTAACAGTAGAGCCTGAGGGTGTGGCTTCTACATGAATATGGCTTTTTCGGTGCAGGGGTTTTGGAGCAGGAAATCAGGATATCAGGGTACCAGGTTAACCCAGCCCAGGTCAGGCATCTGGACAAGAGGGACTTCAGGTAGCTGCCTCCAGGCCAGTGTGGTTACATCTGGTAGAGTGTTTCTGCAGGGTGCCTATAGCTAAATCTGCTGGGGTCCCCTGTTCTTGCTGTCCAAAAGATGGCTGATGACAGGAGTGCGGTTTGAGGGACGCCCACTGCTAGTTGTGGCTGCTGTTGGCACCTGTGCCCTGGAGCATCTGAGGAGCCAAACTATGTACAGTTTATGAGGCGGGGTGAGGCTAGGTATGCCAGACTTTAAACTGTGCATGAGTGTCCTGGACCCTGATAACATTGGGCCCCAGCCCGTGGTCTGGGAGACTAAAACTGGCCTTCACAGGCCCATGTATAGCCAGCGAGTGCTGACAGGAGCAGACTGGGAAGTGCACAGGGCTGATTGGGAGCTGGGGTTTCCTGGAACCAAAGAGTGTGACTGGTGTGCTAGGGTCCTTGGCCTTGCAGGGTGGGTGTGGGGCTCAGCTCCATCTGCTGAGGGTTCCTCTCTTGGGAGTTAGTATTCCAAAAACATGTTGGAATTCATTTCTCCCTTTTAGCCTGGGTTTCCTTGCTTGAAAATTTGGGTCAGAACAGGCCTCTTTTGAGGTCTGGGGCTGTACCTTCAATCAGTGGTCTCGCCAGGCTGGGCAGATTTGGTGAGCCTTCCTCTCGGGACAGATGTGCCTGTGTATCCCACAGAGGTCAGAAAAGCAAGGACGAGGCTCTGCTGGCCTGCTGTGCACCGCGTGCAGGCCTCACGTGGGAGGGAGGCCATAGTAGCTGGCTGAGGTTAGCACGCACAGCGATGAGGCCAGCTGCAACTGAGTCCCATTGGACACTCGCTCCAGTCAGTGCTGACCCCAGGCCTCACAGAGCGGTCAGTTTGAAGATTTTATTCCAAAGTTAAGAGAAAATTTTGGAATCGGGTATGGCACACACCTATAATCCCAGCAGTCAGGAGAGTGAGGCAGGAGGATTGCTGTAAGTTTGAGGCCAGCCTAGACTATATACTCCTGGGCAAACCTGGCCTACAAAGTGAGAGACCCTGTCTCAAAAAACCAAAGGATGGTGACTTTAAAAAAAAAAAAAAAAAAAAAAGGCAATGTGGAATGGGTGTTTGAAAACCCCCCAAAGATTTAAGATTAGTGTGAATTGGGACCAAAGCTTTTGTGTTTTCTCAGACAACGAAAGCAAGAGTTGAGAGTCCCTTGTCCTGCCTACACCAACAGCGTGAGCTAGCGGCAGGTCTTAGGGGCCCAGGCTTGGACTGTACAAGAACCACCCTACCTCACAGGGCTGTTGTGAGGTGTGTGAGAGACGTCCTGTGAGCACCCAGTGCTGGGTCTGGCCAGCAGTGGACTCCAATAAACACTAAAACTGAAAGCTCACCGAGTAAAGTGCATGGTTTTTGTTCAGCTCTGCTCTCTGCCTACAAAGCTCAGTGGAAGACAGTTCTGCATTGGAGGATGTGTGGCAGTGTGCCCTTGCCTGTTCTTGCTCCTTAGTTCAAAGAAAATGGGAGAACATGGGTCTGTCTTGGAGGCCAGTGATACGGAGCTACCCCTGCTGGGCATCAGGCATGGACCATTACCACAGGTTTGGGCAGATGTCTGCCTAGTCCACCTGGAGCTGCCCAACTCTGCCCTCTTGTGGACGCTGGAGCCTCAAGGCTGCGACTCCGGCCAAGTCTGCTTGGTAACTTCGTTCTCACAGTTTGACTTGGAGACGAGGCTCGACAGCAGGTGTGTTGCTTGGAAAAGACTAGAATATTTTGGTCACAGCTCAACTGAGATGAGGAATGTGTGCCTTGCTCAACTCCACTCTCTGTGGTTCTTTTTGTTTTATTTCTGTAATGATCTTACAATTTAGACCAGGCTGCACTCAGACTTAAGATCATGCTGCCTCTGCCTGCGTTGTTCTGGGACTACAGGCTCAAGCCAGCACATCTGAGCTGTTACCATGATACTGACACAAAGATGCTCGCTCCTGTCCTTTACCTCTTCCAGTCTTTATAGCTCCTGCCCTCTGCATGCTAGCAATGACCAGATCACTTGTTCGGAATATCTGGTGTCCAAGGTGTGAGGTGAGCTGGTCCAAGCCAGCGGTGGCCTGTGTGAGAAGTGTCTCCTGGGAGATGAAGCCTGTTGGAGACCTGCTTGCCGAGCATGATGGTTTTTCTGTTAAGTCCTTGCCCCGACTGTCTTACACTGTTTGTACTCTCTGGATTTTGGAAAACCCAAGGGAGAGAAAAGGAGCAACTGCTCTGGATTGAGGGGGCAAGATCAGCTTTTCTCTGGTGTCTGACAAGGAATATCTCTTAACTTTAAAAAATTAAACTTTTGTAAAGCTCGGTTTAAGGAGACTGTCCTGATCCCTCCTCTGTCTCACTCTGTTCTGAGATGCACCTGAAAAGTATTCATTGTTACATTTCCTTCTAAGGTAAAGGTATTTCAGGTCCCCCCCCCCCCCGCGCCACACCTTCTCTCTGTCTCTGTCTCTCCAAGCCGCAGTGATTACAAGCTGGGTACTATGGTTAATGCCTGTGATCCTAATATTAGAGAGGACTCTCAGCACTTGAGTAGTAGAAGCAGATGGATCCAGCCTGATCTAAAGAGCGAGTTTTAGGACAGCTAGGGCTACATAGAGAAACCCTGTCTCTGGATGGGGACAGGGAGGGGAGGAAACCCTGTCCCAGTGGGCTAAAGAGAGCCCAGGGGTTAAGAGCATTGCTGGCCCTTCCCCAGGACCCAGGTTCAGCTCCCAGCACCCACCTGGTGACTTACAGCTGTCTACAATCCAGGGGATCTGAAGTCCTCTGTTTGCACCAGCCACTTACGTAGTACCTATACATACATACAGGCGTTGACACCTATGTCTTAGAAATGGGCTCAGTGCTGGCTGCTCTTGCAGAGAATCTGAGTTTCCCCATGTCAACTCACAGACACCTGTGTTGTAATTCCAGGCCCAGAGACTCAACCGGACTCACCACCACGTACACAGTTAAAAATAATAAATTTTACAGGGGGCGGGGCTAGAGGGTTGGCTCAGCAATTATGAGCACTTACTGTACCTGCAAAGTACCAGAGTTCTGTTCTCAGCACCCACACAGTGGCTCACAACCATCTGTAACTCCAGTCCCCTCTTCTGCCCATGGAGGGCAGAGCATGCATGTGGTGCACAGGCATACATGGAAGCAGAGCACTCTTGCACTTAAAATAATTTTTTATAAAACAAGGCCACCATGGGCTTATGTCCTGTGTTCAAGACCCTGTCTCCAAAAAATCAAGCCAGGGCCATTGGGATGGCTCAGCAAGTAGATGCTTTAAATCATGCAAGACTGGCAACTTGTATTTGGTCCCTACAAGGCAGGGAAAAGTGACTACTGCAAGTTGTCCTCTGGTGTCCCATGGTCTACACACACACATACAATTGTTTTAATGTTTAAAAGATCAGACCAATAATAAACTGGACCCAGGGTGGGACTACTCCACCTGTAATTGCAGGTACTTGGGAGTGTGGTGAGACAGGAGTAGCAGAAGTTCAAAGCCTGGCTATGCAGTATGATGAGCCTGTCTCACAGAATGAACCGGCAAGGCTAGGGAGCTGGCTCCGTGGGTAAGAATGGTCGCTGCTCTTGTAGGGGACCAGAGTTTGGTTCCCAGCATGCAGGTCAGGTAGTTCACAACCACCTGTAACTCCAGCTCCAGGATCCAGTGTCCTGAACTCCAAAGCCACCTCCACTCACCCACACAGACCATATAAGCCAATGCGC